TGCATTGTATGTATTTTGCATCAAATCTATTTTGCATTATATGCATTTTGCATCAAACATATTTTGCATTGTATGTATTTTGCATCAAATCTATTTTGCATTATATGCATTTTGCATCAAACATATTTTGCATTGTATGCATTTTGCGTTATATATTTTGCACGCTAACGTTGCACGCTCTCTCTTTCTCTATCGTGCTCATCCAAACAGTAAGAGAGTTGGAAGGGACCTTGGAGGTCATCCAGCCCAACCCCCTGCTCACGCAGGAGACCCGTCCTAGGGATTCGAACCGCCGGTCTCTCTGATCGACAAGCTCAGGTGCCTTAGCCACTGAGAACCACCTAGTCCGACGGGTTTTTTTCCCAGCGGAGGGGAAAGTGGGAGGGAAGATGCAGGATGCGTGGCCCCTGCTCCCCCCTCTTCCATGGGTAGTAGTTGTGGATTTAGACACGTGCGCACGTTTCAGACGTGCCCAAACCCAGCTGTTAAAAGCAGGTCTCTGGAGACCCAACGATGGGACAACAAGGCCCATCCTCCCCATGCAGCACAATTATTGGGGCACCAAATTGCAAGTCTAGGAAAGGGGGCTGGAGGGAGGTTCCTGGGAACCTCCTGCCACCAGCAGCCCAGCCCCTGGAAAAGGGGGGGGGGTTGCAGGGGACCCTGGGTGTGTGTCTCTACTGTAATGGGGGTGGGGGGCATTTGCTTTCATCTTTTGATAGCTGGACGTGAGTAAAGGGGAGGGGGGAATCACCCTGATGGACACCCATTTGTCTGAAATGGAATTGGGTTCCCTGCCTGAGCAGGGGGTTGGACTAGAAGACCTCTAGGGTCCCTCCCAGCTGTTTTTCTGTTCTTCTGTTTTCCTTCCTTCTTTCCTTGTCAAGAAGAGACTTGGACAGCCATTTGTCTGAAATGGTATAAGGACTCCTGCCTGGGGGGGTGGTGGTGGACTAGAAGACCTCCAAGGTCCCTCCCAATTCTATTATTCTGTTAAGGGGCCGAAGTTCCACCCGTGAAGTGCTGGAGAAAAACGCCCGCTTTGCAGCTTGGGAAAAAGAGGCACCGGCGACCCCTTTTAGCCCACGCCCCATTTTCCAGAATTAACTTTGGCCCAGTTGAAACAGCTGGGGTGGTGGTGGGGAGCTGGCTTCTGGGAGGGGGGGGGGTTCGGCGGCCAAGGCTGATCGCGCATTTAAATCAAATGCAGAATTTAAATCAAATGCATTTAAATAAATCAATTAAATAAAACAAAATGCATTTAAATCAAATGCACAGTCGAGGCAGAACCTCCCTGTTCAGAAGCAGTCTACCTGCAACTAGGAAGCAGGTAGAAACTGAGGATTTTGCTTTCTATACATCACTGAATTGGTTTTTTTTTTAGGGTCTTCTCAAATGCAAAAAAATATATATTAACACCTCCCCCCCCCACACCCACCCACCCCAAATTCATCTTGGTTTCTTTTTTGCCGTTTCCCCCTGAAGTTCCGCCGCTTTCCCAACAGGTGGCAGCCGTCCCTGCTTCTCCAGCCTCTCTCGTCGACACCCCCCCCCCACCCAGTCCCTTGTCTCCGATTGGCCTTCCTCCAGGAAAAGGGGCGGAGAAAGAAGCCGCGATTGGCTGGACGGCACCAGGCACCAAACATTGGAGCCAAGAGCAAAAATAGAGCCGCCGCCCCTTAACTCCCGTGACGTCATTCAGAAATGGCCTCGCTCGCTCGTTCGCTCGCTCTCCCCCCCTCCGGCGCCGCGTAATCATAGAGGCGCGGGAGGGCTAGACGGGCCCGCTCTCTCCGGAAATTCCGGCTACCTCTCCGGGGAGGGGGAAAAGGCCCTTCGGACAATGGGACCATAGAGCAGCCAGGGAGCGGGAGTGGTCCGGCCGAAGGGGGGCCGCTCTATGGGGCTGGGAGCCGCCATGCTCTATGATGCGCGGCGGGGGCCGCAGCCGCAGAAGCACCGAGGAGGCCCAGCAGCTGCGCGGCCAGGTGGGAGCTCTCGGGGTGGGGGGGTGGGGGTCTCCAGCCCCCCCTCTGCCCCCCCTTAACGCCTGGGGGGGCAGGGGGAAACCTGGGAAGCCCCTCAGTGTGGGGGAGGGGCTGCTATTCTCCCCCTGGGGGGTGGAGGGTGGTATTAACCCCTCCCATGACTCGCAGGGGGGGGGACTGAAGCAGCCCCCCCCAACCCAAAAACATGAGTGGGTTCAAAAAGAAAAGGACTTTGGGGAAGAGGGGCCCTTTTTATCCCCTCCCCCCTTTAAAGCAACCCCCCCCCAAGATATGAGGAAGGGGAGGGGGTCTCTTCTCCCCCTCCCTATTTACAGTTGGGGGGGGGACTAAAAACGTACACCCCCCTCCCCAACTTCCAAATGCTGACCTGTTACACCCCCCTTCCCCTCCTCCAAAGCCTCCCCCCCTCCCCAATTTGCTTCTTTGCCTGAAAGAAAGAAGGGGAGGGGGCAATCCCATGCAGGGGCCATATCACCTGGCTTGGGGAGGGGTCTTGTCTCTCTCCCAGGTTCCCCCATTCAAATGCAACCAGGGGGGGAGGGGAAGCCTGGGTATCCCCTCTCTGTGGGGCAGGGCCTGCTATTCTCCCCCTGGGGGTGGTATTAACCCCCCCTCCATGACTCACCTGAGACAGGGAGCAAGTGAAGTAGCCTCCCCCACCCAAAAACATGGGAAAGAGTGGGGGCTTTTAATCCCCTTCCCCATCTTAATAGCAACCCCCACACACAAGATATCAGGAAGGGGTGGGGGGGGTCTCTTCTTTCGCCCCCACCCCATTTACAGGTGGCCAGCTAAAAACTGCATCCTTCTACATCTCCCCACCCCACCCCCAAATGCTGACCTGTTACATCCCCCTCCTCCGCCTTCAAACTCCTTTCCCCAATTTACTTCTTTGGTGGAAAGAAAGAAGGGGAGGGGGCAACCCCACACAGGTGCCAAATCACCTGGTTTTGCGGGGGAGGAGACGAGAGGGCAGGTGGGGCATCTCCCAGGTTCCTTCAAGAGGTGGTCTCCCCCTCCCCCATTCAAATGAAACCAGGGAGGAAAACTGGGGGAGGGGATTTGGGGTGGGTGGGGGCTGCTCATTCCCACGTGGGGAAGAGGAGGGATGTGTGAGAAAGCCTTCTCAGGTGGGTCTGGAAGAGGCAGGCAAGGGGAGATGCAGGAGAAGGACTTTGAAAAGATGGAGGGGAAGATGGTTTTGGGGGGTAAATGGGAAAAAACCTGAAGAGTATTTGTGGGAGGGGGGGGGTCAAAGAGGGGAGGGGGTGTTTAGGAGTCTTGAGTGAGAATCCTTGCTAAGAATCTTAAGTCCTTGGCCCGGCTGCTTAAAAGCCCCAGAATGGAATCTGAATGGAAAAAGAGAATTGATGTAAATAATAATAATAATAAAACACTATCTGGTGGTGAGTGGGTGGGTGTTTTTTTTGTGGGTGGGGGGCAGGCAATGAATTTAGTGATTCACTCATTTGAAATGCAAGGGAAAATAGAAAACGGGAGCCGAAAGAGGGCTCTCTGTGTGTAAACAGGTTGTGTCTACTGAGATTGGGAGAGAAAAAATGAATTTAAACAGCGTGGGAGATGAGGCTGTATTTGGAGCAAAGAGCTTTGGAGACAGAAAGTGAAATCCTTCTGTCTTTATTGACAAAATAAACATCCCTTTAGAAATGTTTGTCTTCAAGGGGTGGGCAACTGATTAAATTATCTCCCCCCCCCCCCTTTCCCTCTCTCTGATTTTGCTTAAATGTCCTTTCTTTTAGTCTGTGCTGAGTGGTTTCTGGAGCAGAGTCTTTCTCATCACTCAGTCCAGGGAAGCCTGTCTCGTAGGTAAGAAAATCTGAAATTCTCCTGTTTTTGCTAAAGTCTGGGAAAGCGGTGGCACCTGGCTGACCAGGTCTCAGTTCAGAAGCTAACTAGTAACTACCGTGTTTTTCAGATTATAAGACGCACCCGACTATAAGACGCACCTAAATTTAGAAGAGGAAAACAACAACAAAAAAGGCTTTTGGCCTTCACACGCCCCACTTTCGGCCCTTTTTGGGACCTTTTTTCTACCCTTTTCCAGCCTTTTTTCTACACATTTTCAAGGCTTTTTCAGCCTGGTTTTGAGCCTTTTCTTGGCCCATTTGTTTGGCCTGTTTTCTCGGCTTTTTTTGACCCATTTTCAAGGCTTTTTTCAGCTCGTTTTTTCAAAAAAAATGGGCCGAAAAAAGCTTCAAAAAGGGGCTGAAAAAGCCTAAAAAATGGACTGAAAAAAAGGCGGAAAATAGGGCTGAAAACGGGGTGTGCGGAGGCCAAAAAATGGCCTGCGGGTGGCCGGGGCTTCTGCAATATTCAGTCTATAAGATGCACAGGCATTTTCATCCCCTTTTGGGAGACAAAAAAGTGTGTCTTAATAGTCTGAAAAATATCCTAGCTTATTTAGTCAAGTTAGCTAGCGCTTGGTTGGAAATCTTCTTGGTAATCCAAAGATTGTTGGTTGGACTTAATGCTCCTTGTAAGAAAACCAGGGCGGGCTATTTCCAAATTCCATAAGATTTCCTTTTATTACATATTGTTCCAACTTAAGACTTTTAACTTAAGCCAACTAACTGGGATCCATACAAGAGACACAATACGTTTGCATTCTGTTATTTTTAAACTTGCGTGGTTAGCCTTTGAAGGGAAGATACGCTGCTTTTATTTATGCTAAAAAAAAACTGGCGAAAAAAAAAATGATTAAAAATGGAGCTCTTTAATTATTATTATTATTTTACTTTTTAAAAAAAAATGGATTGTTGGATTCCCCCCAACAAGAAGAACAGGGATATAATCGGCTTTAGACAGAATATCAGCAAAGAGACGGAATCTGCAAAGATGAAGCAAGGAAAGCTAAGACGGAAAATGAACTAGGCATTGTGACGGAAAGTCCGAAATAACGACAACAAAAAAGCTTATTTCAACATGTAAAAAACAAGAAAAAAGTCAAGGAAACGATAGAATGAGAGAAAGGGAAAAGGAGGAGACAAGCAACCTTGAGAAAGCAGAATTGCGTAATTCTTTTTTTTCCTCCCATTCATCTTTACACAGAAGGGGGAAAAAATGCAAAAACAGCACCTTAAAAAGCAGATTAGGAATACCTTAAAGGAAGCTAAAAAGAGGGCTGTGGATGGTTTGTGAGTTGTGTTAAGCTAGTTAGGGTCTTCCCGGGTTGGGTAGACGATAGGTCCTACTTTCAGATCATCATCTTTCTCTTAACCACCCCATAATCCCTGGCGCGGTGGAGTCTGGGCAACTGAATGGAGCTAGAAGTGTGTTTACTGGCCGGCTGCCCTTCGTGTCGCAAGCGCGGAGTTTTATTCAGCAGATAAT